TAGTCAACTTAATCCTGAATCTCCCTAAGGAAAGAAAGATAACCATGCCTCAATTTAATTTGTTACACATTACGTTTCAAGTTCAATATATTATTTTGTTAACTAATTTTTTTTGACAAGTTGAAGGAAGATCCAACCACTTTATTCATCATTTTGTTGAATTTCATCACTAATGACGTGTTTGGTATGCAATATGAATAAAATTATACAATACATAATATTATATTTTTTTCCTTTTTTAATAATATATAATATTATTAAATATGTTATGAACGTATAGTTGATAATAACCTCCATGCAATCGATAAATGAAAATTGCATTCTTATAGATCTCAAATTTTCTTTTATCCTCCTCCTATAATATAGAGGAAATATTCCTATTTTTACTCTTAATTTTAAAATTTTGACAAAATACAAAGGAGAAATCATAACATCAAAAACAATCTTTTATTTGGTTTATCTAAAAAAGTTGATTAACATCTAAGTGAAAATCAAGAATTTATTTTAAGCATATATTTTATGGGACTCATAACTTTTCAATCACACTCCATCAACTTTAATTTTATCAAAATCTGCTAAAAAATTATTTTATCTAAATCAAATAAGAACTAAATAAATAAATAATTTGTTTCTTAAGATTTGCATGGTGAGTCTATTGGGTTTTATAATTCCTCGTGTTTAGCGGGTTAATATTCTAAACTTGTGATATTGAAAAGATTGTTCCTAGCACAATTCTAAGCTTTTTTAAAGTTGTTTAAAATATTTCCTTTTGTGTTATATACAACACTGGGATTGGCATACTCTTACATATATTGCTTGGTCTATTCGTTCTTCACTCTTTAGTAACAAAAAGAGATTAACAAAGGAGACCATAACATTTTTCATATAAATAATATGTATTATGCACTATTAGACTCGACTGCATTTGATAATAGTCAAGATTTCAACTTCCTTTTTTCTTTAATTTTGTTTTAATATTATATTGTCTACCTTTCCAAACATGTAAAAGAGTCTATAATATGACGTCAATTATAATGACACAATATTTATAATCAAATTTTTAAATAGTGAAATTAAAATAAATTTCTAAGGAGAGATCTTTTGGAATAAGAATATGCTTGTGACTTACACCTCAATATTTTTGCTTTTTCAAGTCGAAGTTTTAATATTGTACTAAGCTCTTTCGAAATCAATTCTATAATTCTTTTAGACAATATATGTAACGGAACTATTTTGCTCATTCAAACTCAAGGTTTAGCCCCTTGGACAATTTTCCATATGTTGTAATTTTTTTCCTGAAATCTATTTAGCAAGTTACCAAATTAATGTATCTTAAATTCGTACATATCATACTATTTGTAGTTTATGTTTTGTTTGCTGGGGGTCAAATTAAAAACTTGTTTAGTAGAAATTTTTTTCAAGTAAAAATAATTTTTATAAGAAAATTCAAATTATAAGTCCCATAAAATATGTGATTGAAAATACAATTGGAAAATAAGGATTTTCAAAAATAATATCTCAAACAAACTCTAAAAGTATTGCTCGAAGCTTGTAATCTCGCTTGACTTCTCAATTTATCTTAGTTAAATATATACAATTTTACTATTCATTTACGCACTTAAAATGGAGAAGAGAAGGGGGGGGGGGGGGGGGGGGGGGAAGGAAAAAAATTAAAAGAACAGCATAATGCTATTATTCATTGCTTATAACCTGCTGAAAATTAAGTAGGAAGTTTTCTAAAGTGATTCTACAAAATTAAGTTTGTCTAAGGTATTCTCTTTCTATGACAAGTATAAATACAAGAAAATGTTTCATATGTCATTTCAATAAAGAAGCATCGTTTAACTTATTACTCAAACATAAGTTTTCTGCTTATCCTCGATCAATCAAAAGGTACCCCCACTCCACCTCACCTAAGGGATTTTTCTTAAATATTGTTCCTGTTTGTTACATTTATCTCTACCTTATATATTTTTTCTAGTTATCTCTAATTGTTAAAATAGACACATTTTACAACTAATCATTATTACATCTTATCTAATCTTTTGTTGCATTTAATAATCATAGGTTATTTTTCAAGGGAGAATTGGATATAAAAATAAAGTTTTTCAAATTTCTTGTCAAGTTCCATATCTAATATGATTATTGTTATCTCATATATTCAACAATTCTCCGTCAAAATTCTACTTTATTTGCATAAATTCTTCAATATGAAAGATAATGTACGTAATGGCCCACCAGTAGTTAGGATGACGAATATTGGTGACCGCATTGCAAGTTCATTTGTCATCAAAATCTTTACACGTGTACCACTTTCTAGGTACACATGAAACTAAACTATCTTTTCAGGCTAATTAATTGGTGTATTGGCACCCCCTAAAGGCAAGGCGCCTGTCCCGACGCATGCCTCTGTCCATCTAGCATGGCCCTTAATTAATTGCTGGATTATTCAGTCATTGCTAACGGGACATCTAGTTCCCCTAGTAGCGTACAGGACCTTTACGCATCCCTTGATTCTTAATTGCTAGTATTTACTAGTTATTTGCAGGCAAATAAAACAACCTTCCCGAGCTAGCTCGTATTTTGGCTCGTGAGGTTTGTGAGCTGGTCCAGGCTCAAACCAAATTTTGTTTTTGAGGCTTGGCTCGAGTTTTGGTCCATACAAACGAACTCGGAGTAGAGTCGACTCGAACTATTTTATTTTTTTTTAATCAAGCTCATTTGTGCTTCTCCTTTCCCCGCTATTATACACAGTAACAACTATTGCACAACAATCACAACGTAATGACTTAATGTACAATGATTGATTTGAGGAAGCGTTAGGGCTTGTTTGGGAGAGGAGGTGGAATCTATTGGAAATACATGTGTTTTAAGATTATTGGAAAAAATACATAATATTTACAATAAAATAAATTATTACTTGTTATATTCAATATATATTTTTCTATTATACAGATTGTTGTATGATTACTATGAGTTAAAAAGAATTTAAAGATTGAGAATTTAAATTTAAATTTCACTTTTTAACAAGCACATTTGAGGTTATCTGAACCACAAAGCCATTTTAAAATAAATTAAAAACTCAATCACTCATTTAAGTGATGTATGAACTACGAAGTACCTAAGTTGAGTGTGTGAGCTCCCAAACAATTCTTAATTTGGGGCTTTAGGTGGTCAATCAGACGGCAGGTTCGGGTAAACTTCCCTGCATAAAGTTCGGGTAAACTTTCGTGCAAAAGGTTCGGTCACACACCGAACCTTATGGGCTTGGATACCGGCAGCCTATTAATAAATATTGTGTTTGCTTACCCAAGAAGTGATTCATTCCATTCCTCTTAACGTATTCAGCAATAGTTTGACGAACGAGAGAGAGAAACTAGACTTTGCTAGTTGGTACAATTTGTTGACTTGGTCTTTAATTATTATATTATTTCAATTTTTTGGTTGTTATTTTGCAAAATGTGTTTTGTTTACATCTGGATTACGATGACTTTTATTTGCTGAATTTCATAGAAAGCCGCTATTTTCATATACTATTTTTATATATTTATTAAAAAAATCTATATTATATTTTTATCTTTATGTAAATTTATTTAATTAGACAAGAATAATGTCAAATAAAATCTATTATTCTAACTTAAATGTATTTTTTTGTTTTGTCTTTGTCAGCCTTAAAAGAAATGTAATTTTTGATTTCAGGAGTTTGTGTGCTCAATTACTTGCAAATGAACAAGCATCCGGAGAAAAGAGCAGTACGTTAAATTCTTGAATTTTCTAGCTTCAAGAAATTTCAGATTTCTATGTTCAAACCGTTAACTCGTTATGTATCATCCACTTTGAGAAAGCATCTATCTTTTGACCCCAAACAGCTTTCACCTTCTATCATGTACCTAAGATTTTAACTCAAAAAACTCTACCTTTTGAGAGACTTAATCTTGAGGTCTTGGAGATGTGAAAAAAATCCACCCAGATTGTTAAAAATTGATGTTAGGATTCAACTTAAATATCTCATAAGAAAGAGATGTTAGATTCGAGTCTTAGGAGCCAAGATGAAAATTCATGATGAATAAAAGAGTAGATTGATGATCTCCCAAAATAGATAGTACATATAATGTAATGGTTTAAACAAAGATGTTAGGTGATTATAAAAAAACTCGCATTTCTAAGCCTAGGTCATTATAAAATGTATGATTGAAAATATAAAAATTGTGAGTCTCGTGAATATATTTTTAAAATTGAAATTTGCAAATTGAAAAGTTGATATTTTATCAAACAAGCTGCTAATAATTATATCTAAGCAACTTCATGCTCACATCCAGGGGATGACAACAGATGGACCTAGCTTACAAATTCCTGATCTTCCTCCATATCCTCCATATTCCGCAAGTTACATAGATCCGCCCCGACCCATCGTCTCTGAACGTGATGAACCCTCCGGGCATAAAATTGTGAGTCTCGTGAATATATTTTTAAAATTGAAATTTGTCAAATTGAAAAGTTGATATTTTATCAAACAAGCTGCTAATAATTATATCTAAGCAACTTCATGCTCACATCCAGGGGATGACAACAGATGGACCCATCGAACTAATTACTCTATCTTCAAGTTCTTACATAGATCCGTCCCCACTCAGAGACGAAATGTTTTCTGAATGTGATGAACCCTCAGAAGGCCCGGAATGTGATGAACTCGTTCGAATTTGTTCAAAATTATTACAGGAATGTAGAGAAGCACAAAGCAACAATGCTACCGAGGATGATTGGTTGATTACTATAGAGAACACAACAGACAAACCCAAATACAAAGGATTCCATCGTTGCTGCGTGAGAAACAATCCAACAAAAATTGTTATGATCCTCTCCTAGTTTCGATAGGCCCTTATCATCATGGAAAGAAGCCACAGCTCGAAGCATTTGAGAAGCTAAAGAAGCCAATCGCCCAGAAATTCGTTCATGCCTTTGAAGTATCCATCGAACAATTACATGAAGAGGTGGCAAAAATGGGTAAAAGTGCCCGCGAATGCTATGAGAAAGTCTCGACTGAAGAGTTTGACAATGAATCGTTCAACAAAATGATGTTTCTTGATGCTTGCTTCGTACTTTATTTTATTATATACGTCTTTCTTAAAACTAAACGTACGAATGTAAAACAGAAAGAAGCAGATCCACTACATGGCTGGATTTGCTACCTGGGTTTTGTGCGGAGGGACTTGCTGTTGCTAGAGAATCAAATTCCTCTACTAGCGCTAAAAGTTTTGATGAAATTATTGTTCAAAAGTGAAAGACCAGACTGGGAGACAGAGTTGATTCAGAATTTCCTTGATCATGAAGCCATTATGCCACCTCAGGAGAATTCATGCGATAATGCTGTCAAAAAATTTATTCCACAAATGATGGGATGCAGTGTTCAGAAAAAGGAGAAACGGAAATTAGATATGGATGCACCCCACCTTCTACATCTATTTCGGAAGCAGCTCATTGGGTCATCTCCTGAAGACAAAATCAAGAAGAAATCTGGCGAACGCCTTCCACAACCAGATCGGGAACCGTTATTTCCTGAAGACAAAAACAATGAGAAATTTGCCAAATTTTATTCGTATCGTTCAGTAACAGAGCTCATATCAGCAGGAATTCATTTCAGATCAAGTCGAACTAACCATGTTACTGATGTGAAGTTCAAATCTCACCTTATTTCTAGTACTCTTACACTTCCTCAAATCGTGGTTGATGATTCAACAAAAGATTTGCTGTTAAACTTGGCGGCTTATGAAATGTGTCCCCATAGCCTTTCTGATTATCACATTATGTCGTACATTTGCCTAATGGATTCATTCATCGATCATGCCGATGATGTTAAAGAGCTCCGGAAAAGAAGAATTCTTGTCAACAATTTAGGCAGTGATGAAGAATTGGCGCAACTCTTTAACGAGATAGCTAATGATTTGGTATTTGATCGATTTGCATATGCAGATGTTAAGAGTCAGATTCAAAACCATTGCGACAGTAATGCACAAGTCTGGATGGCTGAATGGATACACAATCATTTTAGCAGTCCTTGGGCTTTCTTGGCTTTTTTAGGTGTAATTTCCGTCATTGCCCTTACCGTGGTACAGACATATTTTACTGTTTTTCCGCACCAAACCTCAGGACACAAGACTTCCTAAATCAATGATCCCCATACAAGATTTGTAGTTGCAAAAGTTTGTTATTTTTGGCACGTTTTAGAAAATATATGATATCTATTTACTTCGCTAAAATCATTAATTCTTTCAGTTTAATCTACTTTCACATCAATACCATGTTAGATGGAGTCTAATAGGTCATACATAAATTTAGAAAAAAAAAAATTAATCGAGCACTTAAATTAAATTATCGAACAGTGGTAATAATATCATTAAAAGAATGATGTCTCGTGCTTTTAGACATGCTTAGCTTTACATATTCTTGTACAATCAAAGGGAATCAAAATTTTCGTATAATTTAATTCGTAACAATTTTCACATTGAGCCATTTTGGGAAATTTTAACACTTGGGCAGATTTTGGTGCTCACATTTTTAGGCCTCACCTTATAAATAAGAACTTTCTTTTCTATCAATCACGCTCTCACTTTTTGAAATTGGCTCCACTAGATATTAACAGGATTGTTCTCCTGCCCATGGTTGGCGGGAGAACAATGTGCCATATAGTAGGGTTTTGTTTGTCTTTTAACTTTTGTTTTCTCCCTTGCAGCCACCCCACCCTTTAAACTTTTTATCCACGCATCTCCTTTTTACCCACCCAACACCAGCATCGTTATTTTTGTCTCAATTTTCGAGGTCATTATGGAATGTCAAACAAAATCGAAATATTGCATTCTTAATACCATTTCATAATGCTCACGACCTAGTTCCTCACATTGTTAACAGCGTGCGAAACGGTCAATCGTAGCAAAAGATATGACGTGTCAAATAAGCTATTACAAACTAGTACTATGAAGATTTAGATACATGCTAACTATAAATATTTGCTTACAATCGTATGCTAATTGAATTCATAAATCGTTTATGTCATATTGAAACTCATTTCGAGAATTATATGGTAGATATATTGAATGATCCAAATAAAAATCGTTTGAACGTTGAAAATAATTTGATCCAAATAAAAATCGTTTGAACGTTGAAAATAATTTAACGAGCTTTTCAAAAGAGACGCATAACTTTTTTTTCTTTAATATTTTTCAATTATTTCATTAATTTTTATTATTTTTGCGTGAATTTACATCATTTTATTAAGATATTTTTACATGTGATATGACGTCAAAAATTTTCGGATCAATATACAGAATATAATAAATTAACATTAAATAAGGTTCAAATTCGATTTTTTTCCCTTTTTAATCCATGTTCTAAAAAAAATGAAAGAACAAATTAAGAAAAAAATAAACAATGAATAAGGTTCAAGTTTGGGTTTTTCCCCCTTTTTTAATCCATGTTTTAGTCGTCCTCGACTTTTCTCGATGCAATTTTCCATCCTTGACATATTTTACTGTTTTCTCCACTTTACCTCAGGACATAAGACTTCCTTGTAAGTGTTATGCCCTATATTCAATCAATTTTAAACATAAGCAATTCTAGTATATAATTGATGCAATCTTATAGCAGATCTATTATTTAATTAATATTCAATTAAATTAAATAATAGAGTCTTTAGATTCAAATCCTAGTAATTTGTTAATCACAAAGTGTTATAATTGTGAGATACTAATTATATATAATTCAATCTTAAATCATCTAAGGTCGTATGTAATAACGAGATACGAATATTATTAGTACGAATAGATCATCACATATGACATTTTTTACTTTTGAATTAAGTAGCTGATCTCACAAGTTAAAGTGTAATGACACTTAAATGAACACGTGGATATTTTGTTATATAATAAAACATTGGAAACTCACTGGGGAGATTCCATATTGATAAATATCTGAGTATCAACGGTTAATCTCTAAGTTTGGTAGTGGAATTGGTATTTTGAATTGAGGTCATCATAGTGCCTTAAATAAGAACAATCATACTTTAATTGAACTGCCTCTGCTATTTCCTTGAGCATGCACAATGGATCTCCAATATAATATATCGGGAACTAAATACATAATTGATCAAATCAATAAAGTCTTAATACTTGATACAACTATCACCTATAAAAATTTAGAGCAAACATTATCTGGAATGTATGATTTATATGTGAAACGAATGGGTACAAATGTTAGTCGGGTACCCTCTATAACTTCTCATTCTGATTTGGCTGAAATTGGAAAAGATGATGCCAGAATAATGAATTCATTTCAAGGCGTTAATACATTTAGATATGATACAACTGCAATGTATTCATCTAGTGCCATGTTTTCTATATCTGCATCTCAAAATGTTATGTCGATACCTGCCGAATTAATTGATTACTTCAATCATAATATGCCAATAGACAAAACAATTAAAAAAAGTTCAGAAGAAGTAATTGAATTCTGGCGAAAATATAAAGACGTTGGCCAATTGTTTCTGCAATTGCGAAAGATATGCTGACACCTCTGGTTAACACTATTGTTTCGGAATCTGCTTTTAGTGAAAGGTTTTGACCAATGTTAGAAGTCGACTGAAAGAAGATATTTTGGAAGCTTTAATGTGCTTGACGAATTGGCAGGACGCTCATTTTCAAATACAGGATAAATATGCTGAAATTGCATATCGTCAGATAAGTGATATTTAATTTAATTATATTAATCAAAATTTCTTATTTTTAAATCGTTAAATTTTATATTCTTTAAAAAATTGTATACGTTACAACAAGTTATTCGTGTACAATTTTTAATTCCATCTACTTAAAATTGATATAGCTGACCCTAACTCTGGATAAAGGAGGAGGGTTTACATTTTATCTACTTTAAAAATAAATTGAAAAATGGTATTTTTTTAATGTATTTCAAAAAAAATTCGTCTTCATGACTTCATTATATAAGTATTTATTTAACACTTTATAGAAAATATTACTATATGGTAGAAATAAAAAGTGTCTTCATTTAAAAAATGTTAAATTATTTGTGTTTTTTTGAAAATTTTGTGTTAAAAAATAAAAAGTGTCATTCGTGTTTTTTTAAGTGTTAAATAATATTTTTAATGCATTAAATAACACTTTTTATTTTTTAAAACATAAGACTTTTTAATGCATGTTTTTTTTAAAGTGTTAAACGCAAATAAATGAAATAATATTTTTTAATGCATTTTTTACATAAATATAAAAAATTTAACACATTTAGAATTTTTTTTTTAACACTTTTTTTTTTTTACAATATTACTATACACAGATTTTTTTAAAATATTATTTGCATTTTTTAACATTTTTTATTTTTTTTAAAAGTGTTTTTATTAATAAAAGTTTAAAAAATAAAAAATGGGCGAGCTCGACTAGCCACGAGCGCAAGCCGAGCTCGTGCGTTCACGGGCCGAGCCGACTCGACCCATTGACATCCCTACCTCTAAAACCTTAACCTATCTTCGTCTCAATTTACTCAATTCACATTACAACAAAATATTAAATGCATTTCCTATGTTAATACCCACCAATAAGTTATATTTTTTTTGAAGCGGTGGAAAAATTACTAACAAGTATCTTAATCAAAACCATGAAAAAATAAAATTATCTATTACACGAAAATTTCGTAGTGGCCCAATTGTAAAATTGTTTCCACGAAACTGCTAACAGGGATGACAACAACCATGAAACTTCACTGCCCATTCTTTTTACAAAAAAAGAAAAAAGAAAAAAAGTGCTTTTTAAATCTTTGCCCTCAATCCCACCTCACATGAGGCTTAAGCCTCAAAAGGATAAGCCTAAAGAGCCATTGTGAGGAGCTAACCAAAGCCGGTCCTATGATTCTCAGGACTTGAGGCGAAGTCTGGAAATTAGACCCCCTGACGAAATCAACATAAATGCAAACTTCAACAATGTATTATGCAACTCATTACTAACTTGAAAAACTAACATTAAAACAACTACCAAATATATCATAAAAAATATTTATATTATCAACTACCAAAACCAACAATGTTTGAAATAATTAGTTAAGTACTATTCGTCTTATTGTTTTAGAGGCAAAAACATCAATCAAATCTGAATAATTTAGCTGCTCAACCATTTCTTTCTCTATTGATAACATGACCAACCCGTTTAATCTCTCCGACATAGTTGATCGGAGATAGGTTTTGATCAACTTCAATTTCGAGAAATTTCTTTCCACAAATGCAACTGTAACCGGTATGATTAACAAAATTTTGTAAGCAATATAAGCATTTGGAAAACAAACATTCAATGTCTTCAAATATTGTAGCATTTCAATTGCTCTTGTTGCTTCACTAGGTATATAACACCTCAAAATTTGTAACTCCGAACATAAATCATCCCCAGTGATGTCCAAACGCCCATCATGTTGAAGATATTTCTCAAGATTCATACAAGAGTTCAACAAATTTAAAAATGTTACATCCCTTAACCTCTTCAAATTAAACAAAAATCTAAATGTGTCATCATATTATTTGAATTATTCAAATCGGGTTCTCAGAGAAGATAGAGCTTGATCAATTATAAAAACAAAGTACTCAACTCTAAAAGATTCGTCTGCTGATTGCTTTACCTCATCACTACAACTTTCATCAAATTTTTTCTTCAAATTATGTGTTTTCCTATAAATACAGCTTCAATTTCCATTTCGCTTGTCTTTTTTGTCGCTTCATCCTTTGTAATAGCAAATCCAATTTCTCTATATTCCTCAAGAAATGAAACAAGTCCTTGCAAGAGGTCGATAGTATGATCAATATTTATCGATTCGTTTTGAAGAAATTTACTCATAATATTGACAGCATGCAACAACATGTACCAGATTATCATGCCAAGCAAAAACTCAAAAATTTGAAGTTCATGTATTGCTAACGACTCAGCTTCACTCTTCACTTTAGGATCTTCATTACATTCTACCAAATTAAGTAATGCATTCTACCAAATTAAGTAATGCATCTTTTATCTGTACAGTTTGCTCCATTATTGGCTTCACACTCTCAACATGACTTTCCCAATGTATTTGTGACAATGACTTCACTGTCAACCCTTGTGCATTATCTTTGAAATTTTTTCATTGCTTGGTAGAAGAGAAAAACAATGTGTAGATGCGTTGTATCACTTCGAAGAAGGATACAGTTTTGGAACAACGGTTCACCATATCACATAATGCTAGATTTAGACTATGAGCGCCACATGGAATATAGAAAGCTAGGGGATTCATTTCATGGACTCTTCTTTGCACACCTTTGTTCTTCCCTCTCATGTTAGATTCATTGTCATACCCTTGCCTTCTAATGTCATCAATATCGAGATCAAGTTTTATCAAAGCCTTTTGAAACTCGATTGCAACTCCAAGTCCTATTGTGTCATCTACCTTCAAAAATTCTAGCCAATGTTCTTCAACTGTAGGTAATTTTGCCGAATCATCTACAAATCATACAATTAAAGACATTTGCTCCTCGTGACTTGCACCTGGATTACAATCTAGCATAACTTCGAAATATTTTGCATGTTTAACTTTCTTGACAATTGAACTTCTCACCTCATTAGCCAACAATTGTATCAACTCATTTTGAATTTTTTTGCCAAGATACGTATATTGAATCTCTCTTGCTTTAGCCCACCGAAGGTGCTCTTGTATTACTAGATCAAATTTACTAACCATTTCCACCATTTGTAAAAATAGGTCATTATTCTCAACATGTAGTCTCTCATCATCTCCTCGAAATGGAAATGTATTTTTCGCAAGTCTTTTCACAATAGCGATTATCCTTGTTAATATATGTCTCCAATGTTCTCTTTCAGTATCAATCAACAATTGAATGCTTTTATCAATTGTAGTTTTTGTTCGCAGCATATTTTCCAATTCAATTTAGCTAGTCATGCAACGTAAATGCTCCTCATTTCCTTCATGACTTTTAATAGACTGATACAAATAATGCCAATCTTTGAATCCATCATTACCTAGTTGGCCAACTTTGGTCATATTTGTTGGTGTTTTAAATAGCTTGCAACAAAAGTAGAAGATCCTGTCCATAGACATCGAATATACTAGCCATCTTCTATTAACTGTTTGCTCATTTGGTAGCAATCGCTTATATTGTGAAGAATCGAAATGTCTATTCGTATAGTCTTTCGGAAAGGAGATGTCATCAACTCTTTTTGGACCCCTTTCAACTAAGTAATCTCTTATTCTTTGATCGATGATTTTCCAATTTCCGGGATCATCCAAATTTAGAAAAAAGCAACCCTCTTCTTCCTATCATCTTCTTCATTATTAGGAGGGGCTTCATCACTTCTTCTTCCTTATCATCTACTTCGTTAGCATTGGCAGGTTGACTCACTTCTTCATCTTTATCATCTACTTCATTAACATCGGCATATTGAATCTCTACTTCATCCTCATTCAACGCATTCACATGGTTGCTTTTGAAGTACTTGTTAATATTCCCTGCTTGACTTTGAATTAATGCATTTTCATTTCGTTTCCTTCTCCTCTTTTGAGCACCAGACTCATATTTAGGAGGCATAGTGTAGGAATGTATATCTAATATCCAATGATTAACCTAAAAAATAATTACAAAATATCTCAATTAATACTAATAACAGTATCAATATATTATAAAGAATATAGTCAAAATAATACTAATAATAGTATCAATATATTCAATAAGTAACACAACAAGAATTTATAAACCGTGAAACACGAAGCATCAAGCATGTGGTTCAGATTCAGAGATTCTGGCTAGAGATACAAATTGCAACCTGGTTTGGTTATATTTATATCCATCTAGGAGATTATTGCGGTGCATTACCACTTTACTAGACGGGAAAAAAAATTATCATTACCTTTTCCATTTCTAATTGGATCTCCAAAATATTTTATTAGGAATTTGCCAATGGCAAAAAGAACCAAAATATCGGTTGGTCTTTGACTGATTAAATATAGCTTATTTAATTACCACTTTGTTTCCCTAGCCTACTAGATATCACAGTACATGATAATATCTTCAATTAAAATTTTGTGCAGGACAAAAACAAGCACCTTGCTAACCTAAGCTAACCAAGAAAATGAGAAGGAAAATAAAAATTCACCCCACCCCCACGCCTACCCCCACTCCACAACACCATTTTAATTAGTACCAAAGAAACTTACTAAAGCTTAATGAAATGATTGGATCTTTTGATTGAGGCACAGTGGTGTCACCATTTCAATGCACAAACTGCAGGCTATATTACCAGTTTTTCCCTCTAATTCCTTGATTCCTGAAAAAATCACGCCTTTATCACTGTTAATTAGTTTACTTTAAACTAATATCATCATTATGCCAAAAGATAAGCATAAAGCCATATCAAAAGAAAAAATATAATAAATATTCACATTAAAAATGAATTTTTATCTTTGAATATTCCACTCTCCTACCATTTTTCCACACACACTAAACAGCAACGGATAGGGGAGTAGTAATAGCAGAAATTGAATAGAAATGATCTTGGAATTACAGAATTGAAAAAGGAGACTTGATGATATTATTGATTGTAATATCAAAAAGACTTGAACACAAGAATGGTAGACAACCTAAACAATCAACTTGTAACAGAACAATAACAAGAAAAACTTAATTATATTTTATTAACGTGAAGATATTGAATGCATTTCACTTTCTGATTACTATCAATTAATGTCCATAACTCGGGTCATGTCCAGAATACTCTCAAATTCACCATCTTTTCACATTTACATTGAAATCAAACAATTCCATCAAATCTTTAAACCATTTTCACCCAAATAATGAATAGAGGATATGAAGTAGAATGAATTTTATGAGAAACCAATTGAGTAAACTGTAAACATACATTAGATCAAATCGAAACACATTAAACTGATTTAAGAATTGATAGTCCATACCTTTGCTGCATACAATAGCAGCCATCAATTAGAACCCTCTACAATTCCACTTCTCTGGGTAAATATAGAGATAGAAATTGGCCAATACTGCCAAGTAATTTCCCTTTCACCATTCTGTCTACTTCCTGGTATCTAAGCATAAATAAATAACAATTAATCCTAATCACAATAATCTCCGAAGTCCGAACATTTGATTTCTCAAAAAAATAAAATAATAAATAATTAAATTAACAGGAAAAAAAAGGAAATCAACCTTAAAGCCATCAACAGAGAGGAGACCGATGAGAATGCATTCCTTGAGACCCGTCCCAGGCACTATTACATCATACTCTTCAGGACCCTACTTGAAGGCAAAGGGAAAGAGGTCAATCTAAAAACAAATGAACGTGATGAAAATGAGGCCAAATTGAATGGGAATGGCCGAATGGACAGTGGACTAACCTGATGGTGGAGACTGGAGACGGAATCGTGGTCCTGGAGAGTCGGACTGTCGGAGTCGAAGCAACGGAGACGACATAGCAGGATGAGCAGCGTATACGTATTTGATTTTTCAGATATTGGGCAAATGGATTGTTGTGGATATTGGATTTGGATTATGATATATAAGTTGGGTTGGGATTTAAGGATAAACGGATTGTTGGATAATTAGTTTTGGATTGGGCATTTCACGTCTGGCGCTAACCTCAATTTACTAAGGCTTACGCCTCATGTGAGACTTATTTACTATTTTTTCCCAAGCTTACTCATAAGGTGTCTCGGCATCCTATTACGCCTATTTAAATTACACACTACCCTTTGCATGGAAAGAAAAATTTCTTATTTACAACATTTGACCATATAGCAAATGCAAGTTAACTTTTCCACCATGGAACATATAAAGGAATTAATAACCATGCAAATATCATTTTAAGACTTTTCACGCATTTTCATATTTCAAAACTAAATACATTTAAATCGCAATCCAATTCTGCATTCCTGGAATTCTACCTCGTGTAACTATATTTTCATTTCTCTTTTCTCCGAGAACCATTACTTTTCTTGATTTACCTATTACCATATCACCTAAAAAACCGCTGATATAAATATATGAAACTGCAAATACAGAACATAAAAATGCCTTTATCTGTGTGTTAGTAAGCACACAAATCAATCTTCCATTTTCAATCAGAGGGATTTATTTCCCATGATGAACGTTTTTTTGGGTGGGGATTATCTATAATTTTCAATTCCTTTACTTTCCATTTATCCTTCACCCACATTCACATACACTCAAAGTTAAAAATTCTAACGTAAATCAGTGATAGCATTGAGGGGGTTGCAATACTTCAAGAAAATGATGAAAAAAATGTATTAAAAACTCACAAAACAACCATCTAGTCATAATCGGGCAAAATTTATAGAACAGTCTTTATTTGAAAAAGAAAAGGAAAAAGTTCATTTAAATACTATTAGGAAAAGCTAACATCATTAGAATAAAAACTAATTGAATTTAAGAAATTAAAAAAAGAATTTTCATTTCTTAAAATGGGAGGAGAATACTCACTATAGATAGAATAATAAGCTTCAAACTTCATGACCAAGCGAATTTTCATTTTTTCTATTGAAATTCCATATAATGAACATGAATACTTTTACTGGGTTTTTATGCAAAAAAGATAAAATAAAAATGGACAATTATAGTGTAAAATTCGGGTTTTACAAAAATGGAATTTAGAGAGACGAGAGAGAACGAGGGAGAGGGCTATTGTTTACTGGGTTGGGCCAGTCTAAGATTATGAGGCCCAATAAAGTTTCTCTAACAGAAGGTGTGGCCCAATATATATTTGCACAAATGACAAAAGAACAATTTTAGCACTTTATGGATTTTTTGACTATTCAGTTCTACTTTTCAATGTGAAGATAATAAGTTTAGAAAATATTTGTATTTATTTATACGTATACGTATGAAAGCATATTTATATGGTCTATCATTTGAAGTGAATGTCTTGAGTCGTTACCAGGTTTTGACCTCAAATGAAAGTATTCTTGCATCTTGTACAACATTTTTTACTTGCATTAGAATATCCTTATTTCTATCGAAGAAGAAATAATTTGACTTTCTATCCATTGTCAAACCAACGAACACCATTCCCAAGGCTATCAACTTTAGTAAAGTGATCTTTTAGCCCTTGTTTGTCAATTACTTTCCTACATTCTATTTTTTCTACAATACTCATTTTTAACTACACATTCTTCTTTAAAATAACATTATACATAAATCAAAAAAATTTCCTTCTTTTTTAACCACACATTTCAACATTAATCACTATTCCATACTACAATTTTTGAAATTAAAGGGCCATAAATAGGGCCTTAATTTCACATGTCTCATGGAGAAATCAATTATACTATGTGTACAGATTTTTGTTCATAGAAAAATTCCAGATGAGCTAGCAGTAATAAAAAAATATTAAAAAAAAATTGGAAAAGTTAGAGACCAATTGTCCCATATGAAAACCCCTTCTTTCACCAAAACTCATTTTCCACCCCACAAAATGCTCCCCGCCAAACAGAGAAAGAAACCCATGAAGAGTTCGCTGCCGAGAGAAACACACCCATGAAGATTAGGCCGTCGACTTGGTTTTCATCTCCAGCAAATTTCGCTCAATTGAACCGTGAATAAGCCCAAGGTTTTCAGCTACATAACTATTACTCTTGCATAAACCCTAACCTCCTACCCATTTTGCCATCGTAGTAGTGACTATCTCCGGCCGGCGTCATTCAACAGTTCCATTGAGAGGCCAACTTCTTCAGATCTTATCTCCATCCCATTTTGCGAGTAAAGTTTATTATTTGTTTCATATCCTTTGCACATTTCTTGGGAAGGTATGTTTTTTGGGTTTTTATATAATCTTCATGCTCTTGAAAACCTGTTGATCTGCAGCTTATGACATGGTATGCAATGGATTTTTTTGTTCCGACTTAAACTTTCATTATTGAAATTTTCATTATTTTGATATGTACAAAAAAATAGAGGCATTTATAGTTTGTTGAAATTGGTCTTATCGAGTTTAGATGATAAATTACTTTCATAATCTATTTGTTTAGAAGTATTAAATCACTGTATTTGGCTAGAGAAAGTGAAATGAGAGAACATTTAAATTGTGATTCGTATGGTCTTTTTTTCTGGTGATGATAGTATCCCATTTCAATTTTAATGATTTTCGGTTATACCTGTAAGTGCAAGTAGAAGTCTTTGATGGAATTTTCTTTCAATTCTACATTGGAATGTTCTTTGAATTTTGATGATTTTGATGGAATTGGTCCTATCGAATTTAGAAGTCGTTGCTGGAATGTTCTTTGAATGATTTTCTGGTGATGGAATGTTCATTGCTGGAATGATTTTCATAATCAATTTTGATGATTTTGAAGGTCCGTTGCTGGAATGTTCTTTGAATTCTATGTTGGATGGTAGAATTTATTTATTGGATTCCTATGGTGGTATAAAATATTGCTTATGTTTTTATGAAGCTGTTTTTTCGGGATCTCTATTTCATTTAAGATTGGAATGAAATCCTCTAAATATTTTTTGCCACGTAAGGATGAGAGAGAGGAATTATGGTGTTTGTCACGTTTGTAGAAGCACAAAGCACTACTTTGAAGATTGCAAGAGGAAAGTTTGCTGTCCACAGTGTGTAGTTGGAATTCAGAAATGTTTTGCAGTTGAAAAGGAAGGCAGTAACAAAGGTAGGCTATTCAAAACTTGCAGTAGCTCTTGCGAATTTTTTGACTGGGTAAGAACAGAAGAATCAAGTGGAGAGTCGAGTGTCATTAATGAGGAAGTGATGAATCCTACTGCTAATGAGGAAGTCGACAATTTGCCAAGTATGTTCGAACATCTAGCTCGAATTGTCGAGAAACGAAACGTCAAGATTTTATTGAACGTGACCTTTCGCAAAGGAAAAGAGCTCTCGAACGATAATGGAGAAGAAAGGGGCCGACATGATTATTAGTTATATTCATTCTCGTTCCCAAAATAGTTGTGTGTTTGGGCTTGTAATACCGAGAGACGATGAAGAAAATCGAAGAAGAACAATTTTCATTTTGAAAGCATGCCATTTTCGTTCTTATTTTCATTTTGTGTTTTGCACTTTTTTTTTTTTTTCCTCCCTTTGGCAAGAAAAGATCAAACTACAGTAGCATTTTTCTTTAGTTAGAATCAGTGAATACCGACAACTATCAAAGGCCTGCCTTTTGCTCAACAATTACAGCCTCCATATTTCATCAGATAAAGAAACCATCAGAACTTATAATATTTTTATTTTGTGCTGGAGGCCAAGGTTAAGGAAGAAAAGTGGAGACCATATCACCGTGTAGAAAGAATTTTATCATCTCATTAGTCGCTTCCTTTCAAAAATAGTGAGAAAAATACGGGACTGCACTTCATAATCGGCAGCAAGATTTGCAACATCTGACACAAATCGTCGTATCTCAACTGTTCTGGCGTACTTACCAGACCATCGTAATTCACTGCGACCCTGGTGTGTGCTCTACAAACATCTCTCCTCCATCGCCATAGTATATATCTCTCAGGCAGTGACATGACATCGTTTCGGATCAATACCACAATAGCATGCCGGCATAGAATTTCCCGAAACTCAAACAAGCGGCAACTACAAACGATTTCACAAATATCTCTCTAGAATGAGACGAAGAAATTTTTTTTTATTCATCGCTCATCACACATCACACATCACAACCTCCCATATTTCGTAGGTCATCCTTGTAGTGCTCTTCGTAGTAGATATGATGTCACAATAAACCTTCCCAGACAATTCAATTTGAACTTCTCTGAACTTCAAAATGATATAACACTTCTGATACTGCTTTTCCATTTTGAACGTTGTTGTACAAGGTACCATTTGTGAGTATGACTTGAAGTCAACTTGGAACTCCTTCTAAACTTTATTCCTCAGTGCTCATTCATATTGCTCCACAAACTGCTTCAACGAGATCTTCGCATGAACATACCCATCGAAAAAGTCATTTATACTCTCAATGCCCTGGGTTGTTGACATTCCTGCCCAAAATGTGGTCTTTAAATAGCAAGGAACCCAACGACTTCTATTATCGTACAGTCCCGATAACCAATCACTACTATGAAAGTCATATGTGTCGATCATCACTCTCCAACCCTCTTCAAATTCTTCAACAAACTACGAATCATATACTAACCTATGTATGCTCGAAAAAATCGAAGACTTATCGACATGGTATCCAAATTTTTCTGGCAATTTCTTCAGAATATGCCACAAATACCATCTATGTTTCGTATTCGAAAAAGTAATCTCAATTGCATTTTGCATGAATTTATCTTGATCGGTAATGATTCCATGGAGAGCTTTTTCGTACATACACTAGAGCCAGGTCCTAAATAGCCACAAAAAAGAATTTGTGTCCTCACTGGACAACAAACCACAACCGAGCAAAGTAGATTGTCTGTTATGATTAACGCCAACAAAAGGGGCAAAAGGTATATCGTACTTGTTAGTTAAGTAAGTGGTGTCAAATGTAACAACGTCGCCGAACTCTTTGTACGCTTGCCGACACCTATTATCTGCCCAAAAGACATTCCTCAATCGAGACTCATTGTCCAAATCTATGTTGAAGTAGAATCTCGAGCACTGGGCTTTCCTTCTGGAAAAGTAGGACTGTATTGCTGAGACATCTCCTTCCCCAAGTCTTAATCTTCTCACTTGCTCAACATAATTTTGACAGTCCTTTTCCATGTAAGTAAGATTTTTATACCCCCTGCTTCAACCACTACGGAGTTGTAGCTTTTGTGCAATGGAATTCCGCCAAATCATTTACTTTAAGCTTTCGTTTCACATGTGAACTTATCTCCCAATTGTAGCGATACAATCTTGATTTTGAAGGACTTGTTTTATGATTGTGGTCGAGGTGAGCTTTCTTAATTTGTTGTATGGTTGTGGTCAAGGTGAACTTTGTTATGAATTGTTGGTTGGGGCTTCAAAGAACCGCTTGTATTAGTGGTTCTTTGGCCTTCACGACTACATGTAAAGGTGCCATATTTCATTTTTCCATGGTCTCCTTTTTTCGAATTCTTTCTCCTAACTAGAAACCCAACATAATATGCATATCCTTTATAGAAGTCCCACAATTTTTTCTCATCCTTGAACGTCATACCCACCTCCGACACCATCGGGCCATCTTTTCCTAACGTTTGCTCTTCCACTGATATTACATTGTTCGCAACATTCTCGTCAACATCTCTCTCCACCAAAAATTCATCATGGGTGTCTTCCATATTTTCTTCTACTGTAACACATTGAGCAATAACATTCAGCAAAACACTTTTCAATTAGGAGTTAACCAGCCAAAACAGAACACGGTCAAAATGAGGAACAGAAGCCACATCATTTTTTAACAACTGAAAAAATTACCCGTTCTGATACTGGAACATGGTCCACCTTACATCTCATATATAACCTATAAGCACTGAAAAAATTACTCTGAAAGACTTCTCCCTAACATCTCATATATAAGCTATAAGCACTGAAATCTTACTTAACAACGATTTCACAAATAAGTTCAACTTAATGCAAATCAACTTAATTACAGTCTTCTATGGAGAGTAGCTAATGCGCCAAGGTTGTTTTAAACTTCTTATTTCTGGTATAAATAACAAGAGGTATTAAGTGGACAATAAAACATTAAAAACATAATGACAGCTACCTGAGATTGGCTCCCCTTGGTTTTCCGGTGTAGGAAAAATGTAGATTACGCTATTGCCGGAGTTGGGCATCACCATCTTCACAATCCAGGAGTGAGGGCTTCGATTTTGGGGAATGTAGAGGAGTGAGGACTTCGATTTCGAGGACTGTAGAGGAGTGAGGGCTTCGATTTCACCTTCACCAGATTTCGGGACTTTGTCTTCCCCAGACTTCATCCTCAAATCATACTTCCGGCTTAATTTCACGAGTAGCAATGGGCGGGTAAGAAGAATACTTTGGCGGGACTTCTCTGACTTCTTCACGTGAGTAGAGTTCCTTGACTTCCAAATAAATGACCGAATTGAAACATAAAGGAAAGAATACTTCTCTGACTTCTTCACGTTAGGAGCACGTTTTTTCCTAAAATTCAAATTTCTGGAAATTTTCTGTCAAGCCTTTATGTACAGGAGGCTTTATTGATTCTTGGGGTGCCGGATCAAAGAATAAACCTGTGCTCAAATTGGTCCGTACAGAATTCCCGCTTTCTCAACGTTTTTCCCTTTTTTTTTCTTTTCTTTTGCGTCGCTTTGGTTTCCATGGGGTTTTTTAGTCAACGCAGAAGCTGCGGGCCACCTGATACAATTTTAAATTCCTGTAAAATGTCCGGTACACTGTGCCTGTACCTACTGCTTTTTCCACAGTGTTAATGGTCTAGTTAAAAAAAAGGATTGAATTCCAACTTAAGGATCCCCCACCGCCCCATCTTTGGAGTATCGTGAGGGAGGTTAATCGCGAGATGTGCCCCAGCAGGCGAGGGGACAAGAGCGCCTGTACACTGGTACCCACAAAAAGTCTCAATCCATGTGTCAGAAATCGAACCCCCAAACTACGACTGTCAGCAAGGCTGAGTATACTCCACCCTTATCTTTTGCACCACTGGAATATGCTCCGAAGGGCGCGTTAATGGTCTAGTTAGGTTGGATTTCGTGTTGATATAACAATGAACCGAACGGAATGGAACAGTGGATTATTTTCGTGTCTCTACTCAGAAAATTACTGAGAACAAGACTCCAACTCTCATCTTCCTTAATCAACTTTTTAATTAAACTGGAAATATCATGATAGTTATATTGTTGTAATGTTGCCTATATTTTTCTCCATTAGAGGGAATCCTTTTGTGAATTAATGATTTCTGAATTGTATCTTAACATTGTAGAACAAATTTTCTTCAACCTTTTTCGAAAACTTGTTATGAAGCTGATTAGATCCTATTCTCTCGGCCAAATTGGATTGGATTAGGATGGTATGTCAAAGAGAAATTGAAAAAGCACGAAGCAAGCATGATGCTTGTTAGAATAATACTGTTAAATTCACATTTCTAAACATTTCAATGTGTTTGTGAGTCATTGATATAACATCCACGCACTTGATAAACTAAAATTGTAAGCTTATAAATCTAGAATTTCTATTATTGTTCTTCTATGGTTACAACAATATTCCTATATTTACTTTGGAGAAATTGTAAAATTTTGAAGATATAGTAAATAAGTGGCGATAACTAAAAACTTGATTATGCTATAAAGTATTCCTCGTGTTTAGCATGTTGGTATTCTTAACTTGTGATATTTGCGTGAAGTTGTTTAAAATAACTTCTTTTGTGATACATATTAAATTCTAGGATTTACAAGTGAAAATTCAACATATTATTACATTATATTTATGAGTTGTTTGATCTTCTCGTTCTAACTTATAAGTACCATGTAAAGAGGCGAATAAAGATCTAGTCAGGTTTTTATTGTCAAACATGTAAACCTCTCAAAACTTAAACTTATTTTTCTTTATTAACAACGTCGCATAATTGGTGCAAAAAATTAGACTTATAGATGGAAAGACATTATTATATGCACTTGTATAAGTCTAGTCAACTTAATCCCCAATCTTCCCAAGGAAAGAGAGATGACCGGGTCTCAATTTAATTTGTGACACATTATGTTTCAAGTTCAATATATTATTTTGTTAACTAACTTTTTTTTTTTTTTTTTAACAAGTTGAAGGAAGATACAACCATTTTATTCGCCATTTTTGTTGAATTCCGTCACTAATGACAAGTTTGGTATACAATATGAATAAAATTATACGATAAATAATATTATATTTTTTTTCTGTGTTAATAATATATAATATTATTTACTCCACTTTACTGAATATGTTACGAACGTATAGTTAATAATAACCTTCATGTAATCAATAAATGAAAGTTGCATTCTCATAGATCTCAAATTTTTTTTTTTTATCCTCCTCCTATAATATAGAGGAAATATTCCTAATTGTACTTCGGATTTTAAAATTCAGACAAAATACAAAGCAGAAATTATAACATCAAAAACAATCTCTTATTAGGT